TAATTTAAGATATATACTCTATATTGGGTAAAGGTAATACTTACCCTTGGTTTTTAAACTAGCTAACTGGCTTGCGTTAGCTTGAGTTTTATTAAGATTTGTTAAAATTAAGATAACATTTTATTTTATTGTGTTGCTACAACACATTTGTCATCTATTTGTAAGTAAACATGTTTTCGTGGCGTGAACGATCAAATATACGACTCTTGTATTGTCATGTGGATGTGAGTCATACCTATTGTGTGGGAAGTCAACGAGTATGAAATATGATAGAATTGAAAGCGTTATTGAATGTTATGCAATGAAATTATGGTTGTGCATTAAAGATCTTTTAACCTATTTCACAGATACAAGGTTCAGTATTTACAACAAAGAAAAGTGTTTAAAGAAAGAGATAATATAATGTCATGAATTAACAAATTTGATACATAATTATCTAAGTTGTGATTTTATTTGTCACATGTTTGATTTGGCACCAAGTGTTCTAAAATCTTTTCTTCACAAATTAAATTATTGGGAGTATAAGTGATAAAAGGCTTTCAAATCTCCATCTCTCAGTATACGTTAGTGTAACACCCTAGAAATTCGTTTCCTTAAAAGTACCTGTTTTCCCCTTTTTAAGATACGAAATAGGAAAATCTAAGATATTATTGCCACCGTGAAAACGGCTAAAGTAATTATCAAAGACACACAGCGGGAGATTAACTTTAAAACCATTCAAACCAAACGAAAGTAAAGTCAAACCAAAGTTAAATAAAGTCGAACAAAGTCAACCTACAACTTGGAACCATCGTAGGCCCTTAAAACCAAACAATACTGAAAACCTTTACGTTAGTCTCATGAGCATAATTAAATAAATAATATTCAAAGCAAATAAAACACATCATATTCCTATGGAAACTAAGCATGATTCGCTCTTCACTTATGCCCACCATGAAAATGCTTCATCACCTGAAAAATTTATCTCTACTTATCCCCACTACTCGCCATTAGAAATGGGTCGTCATAGGGCCAAGGTAAAGACAAGGCCAAACAAACATACAACACACAATCAGGAATGTTGAGTACATAAGCGTAATAAAATACATTAACATATTTTCATCCTATCATCACACAACTTACCTTGTTACACCTGTAAACAAGCATACAAGACATTCAACACTTAACTAGACAAACACCAATGTCCATTTAATTTGATTATGCATCGAACGAGTTTCCAACCTGCCCCACATAAATTGAGGTAAACTACACCGGGTGCTAACTGGGTAGGCAAATGCCACATGAAGTGATTGGACGTCCTGCGCATAAAATAAATAAAAAGGAAAATACAGCGTCGCATAATTCCCCCCATATGTTCATACTCGAGGTATATACGTTCCAAGAGTTTTGGTGCGTAATCTCTTTCACTTTACGTTATTTACATATTATTAGACTTGGTGATGACTCTCAACCATAACACAACCCAACATTATAATCATTCAAGCAATCAAATATACCAATTTAAATTCTTGAATAATTAGTGATCACATAACTTTTAATAGTTGAACCCTTTTTAATCTACTTCGGTGTCAATGACACCTTAAACGCATAATGCGCCGCAAATCCTATCTCTCGCTGTTAAAAACACCTTAAGTGGACATAGGCACCGCAATATAATTTATTTCTGTGTATTAAGACACTTGATAGCTCAATTCCCATGCTTAAAGCATCAATAAAAATTATATGAACCATAATAAAATTTCCTTTTTTTTTATTCCAAACCAAATTAAATCTTTAGGTTAACCAAATATGCCTTCAATCATGCTAATAATAAAAGTGTGGTTCATATCCAACATGCCAACATATCTAATTTCAATCACCAATTCATCATAAATAATTCATGTATCACAAATCATTCATCAACATCAATCATACAAAATTACAAAGAGGCATTAATACCTATTCAAATATAAATTACAACAAATTCCAACCAACACCTATCATGATACGACTTGGAATTAATATATCAAAGCCTAGCATGCTTCTACATATTCAAATAATTACCAAGTCCGCGAACGCACCTTGAATATGATCTCAAAATTGCCACGACTTAATAAAATCACTCACTTGGAAATCTCCTACAATCCAAAATTACAAAGAGGCATTAATACCAATTCAATATAAATTTCCAGCAATATAAATACTCTTTAAATCACTCATAGACCCTCTAAAATTAGTTGAATATTAATTTAAAACCCTTACTTTTATTCCCAATTAATGGGTAATTAAAAATCCTTTCAAGAAACTTAATTGTAGCTTATATACAAAAATTCCAGCTTTATTAAATCATCTGTAATTGCTGTAATTATGTTTTAAAACACCTATTTCAATCATTTATATCAATCATAAACAATTTCCATCAATATACATAAACTTAGAAACCTAGGGTTTGTAATTTGGGGCTTTTTTAATTCAAAACCAAATCTGAAAATTTATATACATCATACTTAAAAATCAAACATCATAAAAACCATCACAAAACTCAAAATCAATAATTAAATCAAGGCTAGATTTTGATTAAAAACAAAAGAGATTTTTTTTTGTTCGAATACCAACAACCACGACACCACAGCAGGGTTGCTCAGCGCGCCCGCTGGTAGTGCCGCTGTTGTCGTCGGCGTTCGCTGGTGGCTGCGGCAGTGGCCGGCTGCGTGTGGTGGTGGTCGGCGTGTGGTGTGAAGAAAATAAGGGGAAAGGGGAAAATAAGAGAAAATAAGAGGAAAGAGAGAGAGAGAGTTACCTTTGGGTATTCTCCACCTTGGGCAAGGTTCAACTTGTCCATGTGATGGGTATTTATACCCCCTCTCTAGACCCTCCTACTTAAATTTCCCTTTCTACCCTTAATGATCCCATCTCCTATTCAAACTAGTATCTTGACTTTCCTTAAATACCATTGACTTTAAAATTTCTTATTATAAAATAATATGCCCCAAATTTCCAAATCATGAAATAAAATATTTTCAAGATTGTTATATAATTAAAAATAAACTTTTAATTAAAATAATTCTTTTTTTAAATTAATGAAACACTATAAATAATTCATTTCGAATTATTTAAATACTTTAAGTAATACTTATTTAAATTAAAATACGTATAAAAATACAAAATATTACAAGTTAGGGTGTGCACTTTTCTTCTAAAATAAATGACTTTTAGGTCCAATAATTTATATAAGTACCAATAACTTTATTCCCTTAAATTTATTCGGCCTCTAACGATGAGGTCTAATAGTATTCAATCATATCCAAAAAGATCAAGTTAATTAGACAAGGTGAAGTGAACCCACCATATGTGCCATGCATTAAAATAATTTACATTATCAAAAGTCTTCCAACTAAATCCACCCTAAAATAGGAAATTTATGTACAATTATTATCCATACATCATTTACAATCAGTGAGAAATGGAAACAGTATCAATAAAGATTTTTGTATGATAATTTAATGTTTTTTTTAGTGTTTTTACAACTTTAATTTTCAGTACATCCCCTCCGAAGTCTTACTAATTGAATTTTATGCATTTCATTTTTGTTAATAATAAAAATCAATATGTAACTACCTATCCTACTCTGTGTGTGTATCGATCCCAGGATCGTGGAGCCGGGAGGAAAGCTAACCACTTTAGCTATCCCTCAATCTCAAATAATATATATTGTGCATCAACAATAAATAATTAAATAAAAATCAATATATGTGCTAATTAATGTAAGTAATATCATAGCATTAAAAAATGTAATTAAATTTGACTAAAGTATTGGCCCACTTGACAAGGTTCTTACCTCAAATCAAAGAGGATCGACTAGGGTTCAAGTTTATTTATTCCTATTAGGCTCTAACTTCCACACATATATATGTTTGTATTGGGTTAAAAGAGTTGGTGTGTGCATGTTTTACTCAACCAGACCATAACTATTTGTTGTCCCTAAGCTAACCATCTTGTGGGTGGTCTCTCTTTGTCATATGGTTGTGTTTGGGCTAAAGACTATCCCTTTCAATTCACCTTCTCTTCATTTTAGTGGTTGGAAACATGTTTGGAAATTCAATCATAATCTATTTTTGTATGTAGAAAATATATCAACATTAGTTTTCAATGAAACATTCAAAAATAGTAAATTTGTTTCATTCCAAATAGAGTTTAAACTTATAAATTTGGCAAATGATTCATGAAAATACAAACACTTAAAAGCATTTTTTATTATCGTATAATTTTACTATCGAGTTGAGTGCACGTGCTACACTCCTTATGGTAACTTTCACTTACATCAATTGGATACCATGAGACAAGTTAATAACGTACTAGTAATACAAAAGAATACAAATAAGATTTCACGAAATCCTATTCAATAAATGGCTACACGTACAATTTTTCAAATATATATCAACTAGATAAGCCAATATAATTCCAAAATTGCAATTGTCATTCCAAAAACAATTAGCAACGTGTCACTTATAAAACTAACACAACTTTAACTGATTTTAACCAACTTTTAATGTATATGAAAACAACTAATATAACTTTTCCCTTGATGAAAAGCATTATAAGCTACAGGTATATAGCAACAGTGAATGTTTGAGATACTTCTATAGAGTAAAACCCTTAAATGAGAAACAAATTAAATATTATGACAATGGTTTGGCTATTAAAAGGTAAAGACTGCTATAATAATAAACAAAACTAAAAAATTAAATTAAATTACAATTCTAAGTGCGTGCGGGATGATGACAGACAACAACAATGACATACGAAAGATACTATGATCTCATTATTTTGAAATAGCAAGTTAGTTATGATAAATTTAGACACAACCCTCCACCTAGTTTCCCAGACCCATCTCAAAATCAAACCTAGCGACTCATCAGCTAAACACAACAACTCAATCTGAATTACTCAATTACCACGGTAATAACTTCAAAACCAAACCGAACGCCTCATCAGCCAAACACAACCTTATCTGGGCAAATCAATTACCACCTGTAGTAATAAATCGACAATGGCGATGCCTAATCCCGGGGTTAAAAAAGGCTGCTAAACCAAAAAAAAAAAGTTGCAAATTGCATGATGGATGATGATTGACAAGGACGATGATGAGTTTGTTTGAGTACATAAAATACAAAGATCATACAGCCACCCCACTCTCTCTCACCCTTTCTCTCTCCTCATTTCCTTCCTTTTTCTCTTCCTTTTCTCTTCTCTCTTTCTTTGTCTCCTTTCCTCTCTTTCCTTCCCCCTTCTCTTCTCTTCACACATATAATCCACGCCTATCACCCACCTCCCAACTTTCCCCCAATCCCCAGTTTTCCCTTTTTCTATCTTCCATAATATCCACTCTAAACTCTCATACATCCCCTTTTTTTTGCTTCTTAATTTATTTATACAAACAAACACTCTTTTTTCTCTCTCCTCTTTCTCTCTTTTCTGGGTATTAAGATGCCTGCTTGGTGGGGTAGAAAGTCTAACAAGAGCAAAGAAGAAACTCATCAAAATAATAGCAACAGCAACATCTTGTTTTTTGAGCTTAATTCCAAAAAATCCCCAAATAATTCTGATAATTCTAATTCCAATTCCAATTCCAATGGTAATAGCAAGAACAAGAGGTCACCCAGAAGTATTGAAGAGTTTGGTAGAGGGATTTTGTCCCCTAAATTAAGGGGAAATAATTGCAGAGAGTTTGGGAGTTCTGGAAATGGTGCTGCTTCATCTGGGATTTCTTGGTTTGATTCAGATTGTGAGAGAAAAGTTGTGGGTCATCCTCTTCCTAGGCCTACAAATTCTGGGGTTGTTGCTGTTGATCATGGTAGTCATGGTGGTGTTGGGTTATTAGCTTCGGGTTCCGCCTCGATTTCGAGTGTTAGTTCTTCTGAATCTAATTCTGATGATCATCCAATTCTTCTTGATGGTTTCAGGTTTGTAAAAAGAAATAAACCCCTCAATTTTTATGTAATTTTTTTTAGGGTTCTTAAATTTTGTTTTTGTTTGATCTGTGTGAATTTTGCACTCTACTTTGTTTACTTTCTTAACTGATTTTTCCTGCTGCTCCATTTTTTGGGGACGGTTTTGAATGTATGACGATTCGTGTTAGCCGACCCGGAATTGTTTTGGGGTTAAGGCTTTGCTGTTGTTGTTGTGGTTGTTGATCTGTGAGAATGTTGAGGATTGGTAATTTGATCGAGATTTATGGGTAAAGTTTGTACTTTTATTTGTTATTACTTGTGGTTTATTAATTTCTGAGTGTGATCCTTGAGGTGTGTGAGCTGTCTTTTTTTGTAACCTTTCTCACTTTTTAGGTCATGCTTTAGAGGAGTGAGAGACTTAATTACTTAATTAGGTTTGCTGTAATTGGTTGAAATATGAAAGAAGGGAAATTGGTTTTTTCATTTATGTAGAAATTTAATTATAATTCAGTTAAAAGGATAACAATAACTTTATTAATTTTTAGTAATTCTAGTATAATTTCTTGCATGTGGCAAGTTCTGGAGTGTTAGATTGAGGCAATTTTGCACCTGCTGTTGTAGACAGAATTTTTAATTTATAGTCGCTAATCCGAAGCCAAAATGCTTCTTGTTAGTGGTTCACTCCTTTAATGATGATCGTGAGAATGTATTCGAGGCAACAATCCATCCGATGGGCTGATATGAAATATGCCCCTTTACCCTTGTCTCCCCACCAAAACACCAACTGTTCCTATATTTAAAATGGTGCTGGCAAATTCGTGTTTCTGTTTTATGGTTTTAGCTACTTTCTTCTGAAATTCCTTGCACAGTTGGATATTATTCCATATTTGAGATGGTTTAATTATGTTTCATAGGTTTTATTATTTCGTGCCTTAATGGCCTGCTTGACAGGTGATAATAAATGGTGGTATTATTAGTGAATTTAAGTGTAACTTTGCAAGGAAGGGTAATCCTATCGTTGATAGCATTACAATTTCATCCCTGAACTTGTGTATTTATTCATTTATTTCCATTACCATCCGATACAACCCCTCTGGTTGTAATGGATGGTAATGAAGATACACGAAGAGATACTTTGAACTAGCATTAGGGTGTTGCATAGGATGTTCCTTGCAAATTCACTCCCAATTACACATTTATTACAACCTGCCAAATGAGCCGTTTGTAATTTATTTATTGGATCACAATGCTAGAACGCATTTCGGCTTTTGACAATGTAATACAATGTTGTATAAACCAGTGGAAGGGCAAAGAGTCCTGGTCCTGCTTCAAGAGGAGCTACTACTGCTACATCACCTATTCATCCGCGGTTGGCCAGTGTGAAATCAGAATCTCCTACAGGAAGACAAGAAGAAGGGAGTCGAGGCCATCCCTTGCCCTTGCCACCTAGCTCTCCTACTAGTCCATCTTCCTTGCCCAATGGAAGAGCTGGTTTATTTACAGAAAGCAGTCAAGGCACATATAATTCTCTATCAAAGTGGAAGAAAGGAAAGCTTCTTGGGAGGGGAACCTTCGGGCATGTTTACCTTGGATTTAACAGGTAAATACAAATCATTCATATGCAAAGACTATTTTGGACTGGATTTCCTATACATCAATTTGAATTAATTTTATTGGGAATATGGTAGGAGGATTGCACTGTATAAACTAGAACAAGCATTCTTTTTATTTTTTTATCTTTATTTCATTTTTGGCAAGGTTTTTCTTTGCATAGCCAGTCTAATGAGGTTTTGGTAGGTTTTGCTTGGAGTTATGCTGTAAATTACCGATTAGATGATTGAAATATTGTGTTTTCTTTTTTCCAACTTTTTATGTAAGCTCTGATGCATGTCATTCTCCGATCAGGTTGTTTGTTCTGAGTAGCAAAGGACCTAGCCTTTCTTAGTAGCTCTCTATGTTATTAAAATGGACTCAGTGTAACTGTGTAACCAGGGATGACAGCTCAGCAGCCCATCACCTTCCTAGGTTAGTGTTGTTTGAAGTGGATCACTGCTGTGTGGATTATTGCCCCACCTACTATTTCTGCATGTCTGGAAATCTTTTTCCTTTTCTGTCAGATATTTGTTTCCTATTAGAAGGGGGGGGGGGGGGGAATTACTACCTTTTTTCTTCATCGTGCAATGTTAAGTGTAACAGTTGAGCTACAAAAGTGGTTAATTAGTTCTGGTAAAGGATTTGTTACAGAAGACCCCTGGTCATTTTGAAGGACTTTGGTAACAATTGTCTATTGTAGTGAGAAGCTTCCAGATGACTTAGTCAGGTAGACAAGAGAAAGCATAGTTGTTGTGCTATTTTGTAGCCTCAAGGATGTTGGGAAGATGGGAGTTGATCCAATTGTACTGTGATGTTGACAAACTCATCAGCTGGAAACTGTGAAAAAATTGTTGGAATAAAGCTTGACAAGGCCTTTGTACCATCTTGTATCACTCCACCATGCTGTCAAAGATTCTGTGGTCTTGTTGTTTTCTTGAATTCTTGTTATTTATTTAATCACACATTTTCCTATTTATAAGAAGCTAATTTAAATTTTCACGATAACATAAGGTATTTTTTCACGACAAGGTTGACAACATAAGTTTGGTTAACCGATGTTGAATCACATGCTGTTTCTAATTCTAGTTGAAGCTTGTTTGCCCTTATTCTTTGCACCCGCATATTGATTAGATTTTTTAAATTTTTGAATAATTACCGTTCTTGATCTATTTACTGATATGGAATACTAGTTGCTTTCTGGTATTTGAAATCCTAATGGTTAGTTGGTTACTGCTGTAATTTCCCATTGCCAGTTTGCCTCTTTAATCCTATGTCTTCTTTTCATTTTCCCGATTGGTGCAACCTCACTAGTGAGATATGGTAATTTTTTTTTTTTTGGGATTTTGTCATATCTTCTTTCATTTACTCTATGCAGCAAAAACTTGATTATTCAAAAAAATGACCTAGTCACAACTATTCTTGATTTATTTTCTGACTCGGATACAACAATGATATAAACTAGTACTTGCTGCTTTCTGATCTCTGAATTCCAAATGGTTTTAGCTGCTGTTTTCCATTGCCACTGTTATCTTATATCTTGATATCTTCCTATCACTGTCTCGTTTGGTGTAACCTCACTCTATAGGGCTGCCGTGAGATGTGATGAATTTTTTGTAGTGGTTTGTTGTGTTTGATTTCATTGGCTCTTTGCTTAGAAAATAGAAACAAACTTTGGATCTTCAAGGTTTATTTTATTTGACATTCTGCTATTAGGCCAAGATTGTGCACCAGATTCTAGATGTCTCTGAAGCATCCTTATGCGTCATCTCAAAGGCAATATTCGTTTTCTATAAGAATGATTGTTATGCTTCCAACTTTCCTTGTGGAACTTCCTCTCTTCTACTCAAAGTGCTCTTTTGAAAGTTTTACCATGCGAAGAGGTTTGCATTAGAATCTACCTTCTTGGACCAATGCACCAAGCTCTCTTCCCTATGCTGAATACTGTCCAAATTTATAATCAGGTGATGCACTTTAGGACATAGAGGTGGTTTAAGTGCCAAGAGTACCTTTGGAACTTTCCTCCACACTGCCACCCTTTTGTGAGTAGTGAGCAGTGGCTTGATTGTTATATTTTGTAGTCATGATTTTTTCATGTTTTGCTCTTAGTTAAGATTTTTGTGGTTTTGTTTCTAATTTGACATGTTTATTGGTAAATCACTGATGCCCATTTAGTGCTGGCCTTTTGAATCTTTCTTGATTGCGTATGAGTTGACTAGTTTGCTTTGGTCTCTTATCATTTTTTTTTTCTCTGATTATAAATCTTGCCCAACCTTGCCAGTGAGGGTGGACACATGTGTGCAATAAAGGAAGTGAGAATTGTTTCAGATGATCAGAACTCAAAAGAATCTCTGAAGCAGCTTAAGCAGGTCTTCTTTGATAATCTCTCCTCCAGCTAACACTCATAGCCTTCACTCTTCTATTGTTATTATTTTTTGTCTACTTTGCTTATGAACTTGAGAATCTGATATGAGGCAAGTGTTGGCTCATCTTTTCTTCCGTTTATACAGGAAATTGACTTGCTCAGCCAGTTGTCACATCCAAACATTGTTAGATACTACGGAAGTGATCTGGTATGGCCCAACTTATGTTGCTTTACATGGTTAACATCTTCTGATTTTGTTAATGTATCATTATTTTCTTCTTCTTTCTTTTTCATTTTTTATATTAATTTTGATAGTCTACCCATCTTTATATCTGAGAGCTACTTCCTTGTGTTTTGGTGGTGTGCACAACAGTGAAAACTGAGATTCTCAGAATTTCATAATCTTTACAGAATTGTAACACATATTTAGTTTATAGTCAGCAGCAGCCAACTCTAATTTTGGTGGTCTTTCCAGGCTGGAGACACACTATCAGTTTATTTGGAATATGTCTCTGGTGGATCTATTCATAAATTACTTCAAGAGTATGGCCCATTCAAGGAACCTGTTATTCAGAACTATACCAGACAAATTCTCTCTGGGCTTGCGTACTTGCATAGTAGAACCACAGTGCATAGGTACTCATATTTGTGAAATTCCTTTTTTTTTTTTTTGGGAAATTTATATGTTATAAATAATTAATTATTTTAATTATAAAAAATAATTAAAATATTTTTTAAATGACTAATAGGGATATCAAAGGGGCAAACATATTGGTTGATCCTACTGGCGAAATCAAACTTGCAGATTTTGGCATGGCAAAACATGTAAGTGTTATCCTTTAATGCTTCTAACAAATGTAAGCACTGGCATTATACTTGATTTGGTACTAATAACAAAATTAGTTGCTAATCTTCTCCTTAATCTTACTGGCTAGCCAAGTAAATAATTACAAGAAATGTTTCCATTGCAAAAACATTAGGAATATCTTATGATTCTCAAATATCCTAATCAAATCTAGAATCTTCCTTTCTATAATATTTCCTTTCTCGTGCCTGTAAGTTTCTTGTGTTTTGGCTTATCTACTTCTCACTATCTGATAAATCGTCTAATGCAGATAACTTCCTGTAATTCAGTGCTTTCTTTTAAAGGCAGTCCTTACTGGATGGCCCCTGAGGTGCTTTCTCTCTCTCTGCATATTCTTGATAGCTGTTACTTGACATATATATCGCCACTTATTTTCTTATGTACTCACAGGTAGTGATGAATAAGAGTGGGTATAACCTTGCCGTTGATATATGGAGTTTGGGATGTACAATTCTTGAAATGGCAATGGCAAAGCCACCTTGGAGCCAGTATGAAGGGGTATGGAAATATATCTATTAATTGAGAATCTTCCTCGTCATAATCAAAGTTGGGATATGCAGATGCCAAATCTTTAATTATGTTGGCTTTGCAGGTAGCAGCAATATTCAAGATTGGAAACAGCAAAGATATACCAGAAATTCCTGATTTCCTATCTAGTGAAGCTAAAAATTTCTTGCATCTTTGCCTTAAACGTGATCCCGCTGATCGCCCCCTAGCTTCAAGTTTGCTAGATCATCCTTTTGTTAGAGAACAATCTGTTGGGAAGAACCTCAATTTTAATGCACCAAATGAAGCAACAACATTCTCATTTGATGGAAGGCGCAAGCCAGTAAGACATCCTTGATTTTTTGTCTCTGTTTCATTGTTTACTCTCTTTATTAATAACCTATGTGTCAAGAATGGTGCTATGAGATTGAAGTAATCTTTTAAGTAGTCATATTGTTTGGCTAGGCCAGGAAGCTTAACTTTTCAGTGATTCGGGAAAGGGATAGTTAATACATAAAAATTACATAGGAATCTGAAGTTCCTATATCTCCTTTATTTTTGCTTATATGAAGGCATGCAGCTAAAGAACTTATAAATGATGGTCTCCGTATCGCAAAGAAAATATTTCTTACCTGCTTTAGATATCGAGTTGAAAATATGAAATGATATGAAGTAGGAAGTGAGCTTAGTGGCAATTAAGGTTTGTTAAGCTGGGAACTTGTTTATTATGACAGGATTTGGAAGTCATTATATGGGTTAATGTTGCCTTATTTATGGGTTGGTTCAAAATGGGATTGTTTCCTTTTTACTCACAGGATGAATGTAAATTTCATTATTGACAAAGTTCACTGTCTATGACCTAGCTCGATTCTAATATAACCTACTTTAGTGGTCTACATATTCGTAAGAAGCGTAAACTCAAATAGAACCTCCTTATTAAAACAACTTATCTATGATAAAAATAACTTAATTGCAATATTGCATGAATTCACACGGTTTGTTCTCTTTATAATGATGCCTTTAGGATTTACTGTGCTATCTAGGAGACATGTGGTTACTATTGCCTATCAGGAAAGAAAATTGTTGACCTTAGTGGAAGGGTTCTTGTCAGAGCATTTATCTGTTTCTATCATATTATGGATTAGTTGCTTGAGCATGGACAAACTATTTTTTTTATTCTACTTGTGAAAGTTTTAGAGGTATCTTATACATAAGAGTTCATGAAGTGCAGCGGGCTTAAAAGTATAGGAGTAGGATAGTTTTTGAAATTATGGTGATTTGTTAAACAATCTATATTGGAGCTTTATGTAGTGGGATTACCCTCTGAAAATGTATTTATTCAGGTGCATAAAAATTATTTGATTACCCTCTAAATGGAAAACACTGAGATCTCTGTGAACCTCTTCTAATTTTGGTTATTTGTAAAGGAATGGCCGTCAGGGACCTCATTTTATTTGCCTTTTTGTTTGATTCACTCAAAGTGATTTACCTTTGGGTTTAGTTGTAACACATTGCATAGGTTCTACAAAAGAGACGTGACTTTTGTTTCTATGTTTGAGCAAATAACACATGGGCTATGTTTTGCACTTCATGCAGCAACCCTTGGAAATACACCCACGCAGAAAGAGTATTAGTTCCTATGACCCCGATAATATGAGAAAACCAGGGCTTACGATTTGGGAGGCCAGGTAAAGTTTTTTGCCTTTGCAACTGATTTAAGGACGGGGAAGAAATTTTTTAGTGTGTAACCTTTTTTTTTTTGAGAAATTTTGGTTTTTAACCTGATTGTTACTTTTTTTATTCCTTGACAATCTTGGTTCTAGGGATAATCCAAGATCAATCACATCGCTGCCTGTTTCACCCTCATCAAGTCCTTTACATAGACTGGCGCCTACCTCCAAGAGTTGTTTACTTTCACCGCCTCACCCATCTTATGCTTGGCCTGGGCAAAGCAGCTACAATTTAAACGACCACTCAGTATCTCCAACAAGAAGACGTGCAGGCTATACACTTGATCCATGGATCGAGAGTACATTGTTTAAGACCCAAACACCTGGTGGGTCCCCTAATATGTGGCTTATTTGATTATCAAGGCTTAAGAGTATATAATTTTCCTCCAAAAATTCACCCATGTTGTATGTACATATATGATGGAGTTGCTCACAAAAAAGTCACTGAAGTTTGCTGCATTTTCTTCACCAAATTACCTCACCGAGTCAGCGTTGAAAGTTGAAGACTATCACAAACATTTTGTTATTAACTTGTAAAGTTGGGCAACGAGATCCTGTTTGATGACTTAAAGCAGCGAAAATGGCAGTGTAATCTATAGCTGCTGGACCATGCATTAAATTGAGCCCGGATAGGCGGGATTTTCATCATGCTGTAAAAATCTTCAGTGTTGTATATAGAAATTGTGCTCTTTGCAAAAGATGCTTTTATTTTACTAGTTGAGAAAGCCAGAACTAGGACAACGGCTAAAGTAAGGAATCACCATCCGATAGTTTGGATGGGAGGGATTTATGGCTGTGACAAGTATAGAATGTTTAGAGGTCATTAAATTTAATAATTTCTTGTTATCTCATTCTATGTAACTTTTTCTTAAAGTAAAAAAGTTATACCAAATATGATATCTTGTGTGCAAAATTAGACTCGTTGACAATAATTCCGTTACTAAACACGCTTAGTGACAGAAATTTGGTAATTAAAAGATAATGTATAAACCATTAGTTCTATTATTAAATTAGGTTATGCCTTTTCATTTCCAACGTGACAACTTTATAATCAAATATTTATTGTCTATTCTATTGCTGACATCATTACTTTATTCCTTTTTTTTTTGGCAACGATGCTTTTTACTATAGTAAGATTAATTTGAATTTGGTTGGGCAAAATAAAATGATTTTAATCGCTTCAACTACCAAGATAAACTTTCTCCTTCATTTTATCTCATCCCATCCCTCCCCTACCTTCGTTTATTTTTCGTCTCCGCTCCCTACCAAGAATTTTATATGTATTGAATATTATGCCGTTAATGACATACATCATTTTCATTTATTTTTTGATTGTTTAATAAAAATAAATGACGTGGCACTATGAGATAAATAATTTTATTTCTCACATAGAAAAACCTGGGCATGCTCTTTGATTTTGGGGATCTGTTATTGATGTAATTACACTCTTTATTTTAAGTTGGCACTTGACGGGACAAGCCAATCGATGCTGGATCTGGAAAAAATTGGATGTGTGATTGTATTTGAATGTTTAAAAGTCTAATAGGGTCCGTTCAAAAAAAAAAAAAAGTCTAATAGGGTATCTTTTTTTGAGAGAAAGAATGAGTGGTTTGTTTATTAAATTATAGGTCAAGATCCGTCAAAGATTTTAGGCTTTGGATGAAAAGAGTATATATAAATACACTTCGGGTTGAGATTAGACAATCAGTTTCCCATTTAGCAATTAAATGAGCGAACTTATGCGGTATAAAAAATTTAAAGGCGGTTTGAATCCAATATTTTTAGGCCAATTTCAAATTTGCTACCACTAAAAGTCATGCACCTCAATTTTGCTACCTTTTAAATTTTTTTTTTTTTTTTATTATACTACCACCTAAATCATTGTTGTCAAAATTCAGTACCATTTGACTGAAGCTGTTAAGTTGTCGTTTGGTGGGCCCCACGTCAGTTAACTAACACCCCTTCAGTTCTTCTCTCTCCTACCTTAACTCTTCATTGTCTTCATTGAATACTCACAACCATCTCCATTAAAGGCTGAGTTAATTAAAAAAAAAATTAGGAACAATTATCTCTCCTTTGTCACCATCTCCATCTCTCATCTCTACTTTTCTGCAAATTGGAGGTGAAAATTGAGTGCGTGGAAGGCAGTAACTGGAACAACGAAGCAGAGGAAGACAAAGCCCTGCGAGAAAGCGTCATCTCCATTGTTGTAAGTTGAAGATTCACCTGACAACGACGCATTGGAAGGTACGTAACCCTATCTATTTATAGTGGTCCAACAATGGTGCTAATTTTGCAATAATTCTTTGTAGTTGGGGTATTTTAGGAAGAATATGCAGTAAACCCTAGATTAGTGAGCTTTGATTATTTTAAGCAATGTGGTTTGACTAATTAAAAATTGATGCTTTCACAGTCATGTGGTAGGGTATGGGGTATACTGAGACGCCTTTTTTGTTAATAAATTGCATTGATTTAGTTACAGTTTATAATAAAATAGGGCTTGATGTATTTGTTTATTGCTCTTTAATTGTAGATAAAAACAAATGGCTGTTGTTGATAATGAGGTTGACATTAAGCTAAGAATATTTGGGGGTTTTGTGATTAAGAACTGTAAGGGAGGAGGGCAGTACCAAGTGTATGAAGGTGGGTTCACTTGTTGGAAAAGGAATGTGTCTCTCAATTACTTTTCAGTAGGATACTTAAGGTATTTATGTATTGAAGGGATTAGGGACATGGGGTAGGATGTACCTAACCTATATGTTGTGTGGTTCAAAGAGAAGGGTAAGTCTTGGATGACTGGTAAAAGAAAGATAGAAACTGATGAGGATGTAGCAGGTTTATTAGAAGCCAAGCACAAGGATGGGTATTTAGAGTTGTATTGTACAGTTTCTGATGACCCCACCCCTAGTCAGAACCCTCAAAGCATTGAAGCTGAAGCTAACAACCCCACCACAATCCCAGAAAATTCCAAAGTCATTGAAAGTGCCCATGTGTCTGCCCAAAGTGTTACTGGATCCAACCCAACCCAACCACATCAATCTGAAACACAACAATGTTGTACCCCACCTCAAACCCAAGTGTTTGTCCAAACTATTCCTGGATCCAACCCAACCCAAACACAGCCATCCCAAACACAGAAAAGCCCTATCCTGCTTGAAAAACAAAATAAAACACACAAACCTATTGAACCTGTGCTGAGAAGGAGCCCTAGACTTGTTACAGTTCCTGAAACAGAACCTGTTGAGAACAAAGTGAGGAGAAGCCCTAGGTTTTGTAGATCTATTGATAAGGGGAAGGGTAAGGTTTCAGTAGAAAGTGGTGATACTGGTGTAAGTCTGCATAAGGGTAGAGGGAAGAGAATTAGGAAAGAAAAAGCAAAGAGAGCTCTGAAATTGGATGAAGAGGAGGAATCAGGTAGGCCATCAAGCTCAGATGCAACTGATATAGACATTGATTGGGAGCCTTGGGAAGAAGAGGCAAACAGTGATGATGATGATGAGTGCCATAGGCAAACTGGAGAAGGCATCCTAACTGTAGTGCACAGTAGCTTGCAGGTTGTGACACATAAGGGTGAAACTTTAGAGGGTGTTGGTGTTGAAAGGGAGGGGAAATTGAAACAATTGAGCAAGGACATTGTTTGGAAGGAAGTGGATGTGCATGGTGAAAGTTCTGAGTAAGATGAGCTTAGAAGTTTGCATGGGTCAGATGAGGAAGAGGATGACAGTCCTTGGTTCCATGAGGAGACTGATTTCAAAAAACCAATTGTGCTAGTGAATAAGTTGCAGTTCAAAATCAGCACCATTCTAAGGAAAGCATTGAGGACACATGCTATAGAGAACAGATATGAGTATTACTATCTGCACAATGGTGGTAACAGGATAACCACATTCTGTAAGAGAAGGTGTTTGTGTGAGTGGAACTATAAAAGAAGCAAAATCACAGGGATCTGTGACTGCAGTTCAAGGGTTAGAAAGTGCAAGTTTAAGGTGGCTTCCAGAAGAATGTACAACAGTCAAGCATGGCAAATCATTGATTTCAGACCAAAGCATATGTGTATGAGGAGTAAAAAGAATTCAATGGTGAATGCTGAGTATTTAGCTGAGAAGTATGTTGAGGAGTGGAGGCACAACCCTAGTTGGGATTTAAAAAGTTTTAGAGCAAGGGTGCTGAGTGACTTGGGCATTACAGTAAGCTATTCCAGAGCTTGGCTTGCTAGAGTTAGGGCAAAGTTGATGATTTATGGGTCAGCTACAGAGCAATATGCCAGGGTTTTTGATTATGGCAAAGCTGCTATCAAGTACAGTCCTGACACTGGGGTCTGCATAGTTGTAGATGGGGAAGTAAGCAACCCTCAACCACCACTCTTTATGAGGATGTACATATGTCTTCAACCATTGAGGTGAGCTGCCCTAATTATACTATTAATTACAGGAGCTACTTTGTTTTGACAAGCTATGCATTAATGTCTTGATTGTGGATACAGGGTCTCCTTGAAGCCTTGGAGGTGCAAGTCCCATTTACTGAGAAGAGGTTCTGTGTAAGGCATATCTGGGCCAACTTCAAGCTTCAATTCAGTGGCTCAACCTTCAAACAGTTGTTCTGGGATGCTGCTAGGGCTACAACATTGGTGAGTCAGTCAACTTTACTCCTATGTTTGATTAGTTTGTTCAATTTGTTTGAAAATGCTGCAACTTTGATTGGTTGCTTTAAGTGGCATTGATTGCTTTCTTAAATTGAGATGTTGGATGTTGCTTAAATAGTTATGTTGTATTTTGTATGATGCGGTAGGCTGACTTTGAGGTGGCAATGGAATCAATTAAATTTCTGTTTGAAGATGCATTTGTTTTTCTTGATGACATTCCTGCTAAGCATTGGTCTAGGCATGCATTTTCTTCTGATTGCAAATCAAATATGCTGTTGAACAATGTATGTGAGACCTTCAATGCTGTTATAAGAGAAGCAAGGGACAAGCCAATACTCACTCAGATGGAGTGGCTGAGAAGGTATATGATGAAGAGGCACAATGAGAAATGGGAGGCTAGCAAGAAAATGGAAGGTAAGGTGACACCCTATGTCACTAAGCTTTTTGAGAGGATTGAGAGGGCTGCAAGGCACTGCATAGTGCAGGTTTCAAGGGGAGACTCCTATGAGGTTGAGCTAAATGGGGATACAGTGCTAGTTGACATAGGTAACAAGACTTGCACTTGTTACCATTGGCAATTAACTGGTATTCCATGTGTACATGGGTTTGCATGCATTTTGGATAAGAGGGTGGACCCAGAAGACTTTGTGGATGAGTATTACACCAAGCAGAAATATCTGCATGCTTATGAGGAAGCTGTTAAGCCCATGCCTGGACCTAAGCATTGGGAGAAGCATCATTTTACAGAGCCCCTACCTCCAGCAATCAGAATAATGCCTGGGAGGCCAAAGTCAAAGAAAAGAAAACTGGAGAGAGGTGAGAGAGCACCTGAAAGCAGTAGCAGACAACCAAACCTTCATAAAAGACAGAAGCGGTGTGGTAACTGTGGCCAGTTTGGTCATTATGCCAAGACTTGTAAAAATGCACCAGTGCAAGTTCCAGCACCTCCACCAGAGGCCACCAAAGCATGCAAGCCTCTTTTGCACAATGATTGGGTCAAGGAGAAAAGAAGGAGGAAGGAGGCAAGGGCTGCTTGGAAGGTGTGTAATTTCTCCCGCACAAACTGTAATTTTTACACAAACTGTAGATTATGTTCTTATTTTTCTATGTTTTTTAAAACAGATTGGTGGAACTCCTGGACCAAGGAGCATAGCTAACAAGAAATTTCCTCAAGAGACACCCCAACAACATGTGGCCTGTACCCAAGCATCCCAGGCATCAACAACTACAACAGCAGCACAGAAGCCAACAACTC